GTGCTCCATTCGTTGGAGCTGCTGGAGCTTGAGCTGAAGCCGGGCAAGCTTGGGTACCCAAGTGCCGACCCGAAGGAAGGCTTTCAGCGATGCTATCATGATGGCAAGCCCTTTCTTTATGATGTGAACAAGGGCGAAGGTCTTTGGCTGGAGATTGAAGATGATGACAGAGTCCGCCTCATTCTGAATCCTGATGAAGGGTCTCCACTGTTCGCTGGTTTTCAGTTCCTGGCGAATGTGAAGCTGCCTGTGGCTTTTCGACGGGACGAGTTGCATCTGGGTCGCCCTAGTGAGAGCACTGGCATTGCATGATGCTTGGAGACCTGTGCAATGATGATCATGATCATGGGCTAAGATTAACAATTGGCTTCGTGTGTTAGCATTCCACTTGCAGGCACAAGCTGAGCACTCACTTTCGTCGAGTGTTCAATGCCTCTGCTGGTCTCAAGCGAGCCTGGGATGCCAATTTAAAAAACTGATCTTGGATGGGGATATGAAGAGTTGCTTTGGCTTCTCTGTTTTTGTCGGGTATGAACCTATCTGCCTGCGGTTTCACGCATTTAGCGGTACATGTCTGAGTCTGTGTATGCACGTACTGTTGCATGTGAACGCATCTGCATCCGCAGCTGCACACGTCTATGTCTATGTACGATCAATGTGGGGCAACACGTCTGTCTGTCTGTCTGTCTGTCCGTCCGTCTGTCTGTCTGAGCATCGGTCCTGTTTGTCTGTTTATAGTCACGCATGCACAATGTACATCTGACATGGTTTTCTGCATGCCTGCATGGTGGATGGATGGATGTTCATAGGTGTATATGTGTGTCTGTTTTGTTCAAATAAATGACTTTCCTTCTCTGGCTGTCCGCTTGGTCGGCTTGTTGCTCATGGATTAAGACAGATGAGGTATGTTTGCTCTGACTTCCTGGCTGATGCGGGCTCGGAAAGCTCCGTGGGCAACGAACAAGATAGGATCCACATGGCAACAGGCACTACGCCGGTACGTGGAAATCGTGCTCGGGCAGCAATACAGGGCCAATCAGAAGGCAGTGAGTCGACAAAAGCTGTTGATTCAAGTCATGCTTGCTGAGTAGCACATCTTAGGCCTTGCCAGATGACACTTTGCAACAGCTTTTTGGGTCCTCCTTGTTGAAGGAGAGACTCAGTGGCACTAGCTCTTGTTGCATTCTCCAGCTTGTGTTGCAAAGAGCCAAGGAACGGGTTCTCCCCGTCAGGAGACGAGCGGCTCGACTTCGAGAGGTCAGTTCAGATCTTGCAGTCGCTCTCGGGGACGCTCGCATCAATTAAAGAAGTGTCCATGCATGTCGTGTGGCCGGCAAGTGAATGACGCCTGAGTGACACCTGTGCCTTTCCGACTGTTCTTAAGAATTGAAGCCGAGGAGAGTGCTCAGCAAGTTCTCTCAGGGCCGTTGGCTGTCGTGGGGATTTTCGGCCCAGTCTTTCACGAAGAAGTACACTGCGACTCTGCTGGCCGTCATGTGGACGGGCATGGAGGAGAGACACTGGTCTGGCAGTGCATGTGCTCGAAGCCAGACTCTGTGCAGGAGGGCCGCAACCCCTTCGTCGAGCAGAAGACCAACGACCGGTCGTACGACCGTGTCCTCGACCTGTGTGTCAAGGCAGGCTCTCTCGCTATGTGACAACAGAGTGTTCATTCTTCTGTTGTCAGGCCTTGTTGGATGAAGAGGCTCACAGCTTGTTTCAGTCCTTGGCTGAAATGGTGAGGCCCATGACGGACATGTGTCTTTGGCTGGCTACTCGACCACTCTTAATCTTGCTCTTGGTAGTGGTACAGGAACTACAACTAGTGCTACTCCTACCCCTCCTCCTACTCGGAAAACGTATTACTAGTCGTAAAAGTAGGTACTACTTGTCCTGCTCGTACTGCGGGCGCAGCGGGCACTAGC